TTATTTATAACTTCAGGGTGTTTGAGAGACGATTCGGGAGCAGGAAGTTCGCAGTAAGTTATTTGATGTTTCTGCTGAGGTTCAGAGTGAGCCGACCTTCTCTGTAGTCGGTGTTCGCACATTCCGTTCTTCCAGGGTCTCCTGAGTGCTAAGCAAGTGAGATTTGCCTCTAGCTACATCTCCAGCCCTTGCGTTTTGTTTTTTAAACTCTGAAGTAAAGTCTTTCCTATTTTTCCAAGATGGTCTCTGGCTTGTAACCACCCATTCAGGTCCAGAATCTTGGGATTACAGGTGTGCAGCACACTGTTCTGGACCCTTGTTTCAAATGCCTTCCTTATTTAAAACTTCGTGTATTATTTATAATTATCTCTTAAATTACATAATTCTAGATATGATGTGTGGCTTCAACATTAACCAAAGAAAAAATTTAAATTTAAGCCAATAGCAATATAAAACAATTGAAATGATGGTAATTCACAGCATTGTGTGTGCTAGTAATAAAAATTTTAATTAGAACTTTAGCTAATAAAATTCTCTTCACTTACTTGGCTTAATAGTATATGTGCTACTTATTAGCAGTATGTCTTAATTAAATGTCGTTTTCAACACCTCTAGAAATTCTAGAAACTAGTACATGTGAACAATTATGGTTTATTTGCAAATTTTGGAAAGTAACAAAAACAATATAAAACTATGCTTATGCAAGTATACATGTATGTAATATGCATATATACATGTATGTATGTGTACCCATAACCCCCATCCGTCTCTGTGTCCGTCCCCCCTCCCCCCGGCATACCTGAATTCGTGCTAACTAAATAGCTGTTATTTATTGTTAGGCAACTCATTCTCTGTTTCTCATTTTATTTTTAGTCCTTCTTGCTGGGCTCCTGGGTCTTGTCAGCCTTGTTTGACCTAATCCTCGTGGAAGCTGTCCAGTATTCATTTGGAGTCCCCGTGGCCAATAATTTGCCTTCTGGATTGTAAGTGGCTTATGGTTTGGAGTTATTTATTTAGGATTCTTAAGTCTGTTTGAAATACTGTCATTCACAAACTCTCACTAACGGTCTTTTAAACTGGCTGTGGTGGCCACAGTGTTAGTCCAGGCACTTGGGGTGTCTGTGATCTCAGGGCCAGCCTGCTCTACATAGTGAGTTTCAGGTCCGTCAGGGCTACTTAGTGAGTGAGAGTTTGTCTAATAAAAGATACTTTGTACTTTCAGATAGAGTGTGTGTGTAAAGAAAATCCAGTGTGTGCTTTCATATCCCTCATGTTCCTAAAATAATCAGTGTCATGGTTCTTCCATTTTCCTTTCAGCTTTGAAGTCATTCTGTAATTTGTTTGTTTGAAACAGTGTCTCGTGTGTAGCCCAGGATGGTCTCTAATCCACGTTTCTTTTGCTTCAGGGTTTCTAGGTGCTGTAGTGATAAACCACTCTGAATTCCTCAAATTGAATTTGTTTTGTGTATTTTTGTAGTGATATTTTGCTGTTGTAATTTTATGAACTAATTAAATAAAAAAATCCAAATTTAATTAGCCCGAATAACAAAATTGATGTACTGAAATTGAGTTTCGGAAGGGACTTTTAGGCTATTCACCCGGGGTAGAGCCATGTCAGTGCGCAGGTAACGATAGCTTGTGCCTCCTGCAGTGACCGACCAGCAATCATGCTTTCAGGAAAAACTGTTAGCGTGTGCAGTAACTGGGAGCCGCGGGCAGAGCTGTCAGCGCCTGCAGACCACCTAGTGCATATCAGGATTAAGTAGATGAGCCTCTGTTTGAGAGGCACGTACAACAGCGTGAAATTAGAGAAACTAGATATTTAAAATTCTGTGCGCACTAACTTTAGGCTTGTTCTAATTTTACAGTGTGGGTTTGAGAACTGTAGGGTGTATTAGGTCCCTTGATTCTAAAGCTGGATCTCTACTGTAGATAAATAGCTAGTGTTATGTCAGACTCGTCAGGAACGGTGCCCTTCACTGTGTTAGTAACGTGTGGTTCTGAGCCTTACCTGAGCTGGAACACAGCGATCTGCCGTCATTCTGTACAGCCTTGCATTAGTGTGGGTACTAGGGGTGTGGGCTGCTGCTCCTGTGAGCAGAGCGTGGTGCTGGGGAAGGATTCTATGTTAACCTAGGCACTTGTTTCTCTCAGAATAGTTCTCATCTGGCCAATTCCTACTGGTTCCTAACAAAGGCTGCTTACAGAGTTTTGAGGCATGTGTGTAATGTGTTGGTGTAAGAATGAGACTGGATAATAGTAACACCAGATCCCTGAAACTCTCACAAAGGTGGAAGGAGAGAAGTAAGAGAAGTGAGTTGTCCTATGAACTCCATATGTGTGCTGTAGCCTATGCGTGTATACATGCACCACTTGCACACACACTCTTATACACACTGAAACATCCTCACACACTTCCACATACACACACATATCCATACACACATTCTCACATACACTCACATACATACACATTCTCACACACGTACACACACATCCACACACACATTTGCACATGCTTACACACACATTTTCACAGACACTCACATACATACATTCTCACACACGTACACATACACACACATA